CCTGGCCTCATTAATCACTGTTTCTGTAGTTTGGACACATTCTTTAGCTCCTTTGTGCTTTTACTTCCCCATCTGTATATGGGGGTGATACAATTTTATTAATAAGTTCACATATGCAAAGCACTTAGAATCGTGCTATAAGTGGGCCAGGCATGGTGGCTCATGCCTACAATCTCAGCACTTTTGGAGGCCAAGGCAGGAGAATCACTTGCAGCCAGGAGTTCAAGATCAGCCTTGGTAACATGGTAAGACCCTGGTTTTACTAAATATTAAAAAATCATCTGGGTGTGGTGGCGCATGCCTGAAGTCCCATTTACTGGAAGAGGCTGAGGCAGGAGGCATGCTTCAGCCCGGGAGCTAGAGGCTGCACTGTGCCAGGATAAAGCCACTGTACTCCAGCCTGGCAACAGGGAAACCCTGACTAAAAAGAAGGAAAGGAAGAAACGGTGCTGAAGGTATTTTGCTACTGTTATTTTGACTTACAGTTTTAAAAACTAGGTGTTAATATATTAGGGGAAAATTGGGTGGAGGGTACCTTTGCAATTTACTGTGAATCCGTAATTGTTTCAAAACAAAAAGTTAAACATGCAGTTGTTAAAAATAACTGATATAAAAGACTGTCAAGATGTCATGTTAAGTAAAAAAAGCGAGATGTGGAACAATGTGTCTGGTAAGCTCAATTTTGTATAGAGAAATGGGGAAGGGAATAAGTGTATATATTTTGCTTATGCATATCAAATGAAATTCTTATGTTAAAAACCAGTAATTACTTGGAAAGTGGGCTTTATTTTTGAGCCAAGTGACTGTGTTATCTATTGAAAAATTATTTTAAAAATAAGACTAGTAGGGCTGGGCACTGTGGCTCACGCCTGTAATCTTAGCACTCTGGGAGGCCGAGGTGGGTAGATCACCTGAGGTCAGGAGTTCAAGACCAGCCTGGCCATGATAGTGAAACCTCATCTTTAAAAATAAAATAAAATAAAATAAGACTAGTAATGAAAAATACAAATAACACTTCCATCATAGCATAAAAGCATTTCCATTTGTCACAAGTCAACACCAATTTGACAAATGACAGAGTGTATTGAGTTCAACAGTAAAGTATTTTCCAATGGCTCAATTTCACTCACAATGTGTACAATTCAGAGAACTTTAATTCCTCAGTCTTTGAGGGGGAGCTGAAGAACCACTCCTTCAGGCTTTACAAGTAGCACGTGGCCTTATCTAAGATCTAGTGACATTTCAAACTTAAAGCTTTTGAAATGAAGAAGACATCTTAAGGACATCACCACCTGGTGAAGCCTTCTCTGATGTTAAGGAAGCACGTGTTATAAGTCCTGGAACTTGATGGCATTAGTCCTAGAGAAAGAACGGCAAGGCCAGGCACAGTGGCTCGTGCCTGTAATCCCAGCACTTTGGGAGGCTGAGGCGGGCAGATCTGAGGTCAGGGGTTTGAGACCAGACTGGCCAAGATGGTGAACCCTGTCTCTACTAAAAATATAAAAATTAGCTGGGTGTGGTGGCATTCCCCTGTAGTCGCACCTACTCAGGAGGCTGAGGTAGGAGAATCGCTTGAACCTGGGAGGCTGAGGTTGCAGTGAGCCAATATTGTGCCACTGCACTCCAGCCTGGGTGACAGAGCAAGACTCCATCTCAAAAAAAAAAAAAAAAAAAAAGAAGCAGGGGGAGAAAGAAGAACGATTGGATATACAAATTTGGATTTAGCCAGAGTTATCCTGGGGAGGAGAGAGTCAGACACACCCACAGGCACACCCACGCTCCTATCTAGCCTCCTGTGTCCAAACAAATGATGGCAAAACAGACACTTGATGCCGTAGTGACCGAAGGATGGAAATTTCCCTCATCTCTTGATGTTTCTGCAAGTTCCATTTATATATATATATACACATATATATATATGATTTAGAGACGGGCTTTCACCATGGTCTCGATCTCTTGACCTTGTGATCCGCCTGCCTCGGCCTCCCAAAGTACTGGGATTACAGGCATGAGCCACCGCGGCTGGCTCTGCAAGTTCCATTTTTAACTCCTGAAACACACTTTTTTTTTTCATGTCTGATAATGAGCAGATGTTGTGACAGGTTTGCAGGATTGCGGGGGACACATCTCACACATAAGCATGACAACTCAATCATCACACTTATTAATCACAAAAGGATCTCCTCAAACATCTTTTTAGCAATGTATGAAGTGAAGTTATGCTAGCTGCTATAACGAGTAACCCCTATGTCTCAGTGGCATAATAAAATAATTTTTGTGCATATCAAACACAGACCAATGTGGACCAAGGTTGGGGGAGGGGGACTTTCTCTACATTGTCTTGTAGAATCCTGGCTGAAAAAGGGTCCATCATCTTCAATGTATGGCTTCCAGAACATACTGGAAATCGACATCCAACCAGCACACACAGAAGAAATAATAATCAGACAGAACAGAACACCTGAAAGTGATATTTTTCTCTCCCTGTCATTGGCTAGAACTCAATCATGTGGTGCCACCCAACTGTTGGGGAGTCTGGGAAATGTAACTTAGCTGTGTATAAGAAAGAAGGAAGGAAGGAGGGAGGGAAGGAAGGAAAGAGAGAGAGGGAGAAATAATTTAGTGAACGCATGGCATTGTTTCTGCCACAAGCAGTTACTGCCATGATGATTTAATTTTTCTCCTTTACTTTGTTGATTTCCTGGTCTTTACGGACCTTTACAGCAATTCTATGAGGCAGGCTGCACAGACATTATTCCCACTTGCCAATGAAAAAAGATGAACTTCAAAGAGGAGTTAGCTGAGTTGACTAAACAACATGGATATTAAATGGTTAAGCCAGAGCTACAAGTCTTCCCACAGAACTATGCCTGCTGTCTCCCATCCCTACCAAAGGCAACATCGCTTGCTTCAGTAACGTGAATCAATCAGTGCTTCAGTAAATTAGATTATGCAAAGAGTTTTCATAAAGTTTCTTTCGTTAAAAAAGTTCACTATTGACTTAGTTATATGCAGTCATAAAAAAGTTATACAGACCATGTGATTACATTTTAATGGAAATACATTATGGAGAATAACATAAAATTGAATGCACATAATTTTTTTTCTTTTTTTTTAAGAGACGGGGTTTCTCCATGTTAGGCTGGTCTCAAACTCCCAACCTCAGCTGATCTGCCCACTTCGGCCTCCCAAAGTGCTGGGATTACAGGCGTGAGCCACCGCACCCGGCCCTGAATGCACGTAATTAATTCAGGACAAATTTCAGCCTTTTCTTCAAAAATTGCCTCCCTTTTCTCTCTTCTGTAACTCCTATCAGATTTATGTTCAAGTCTTATTCTATCTTTCACTTACCCTTTAAATTCTCAAATATTTTCTTTGCTACTTTATGTTTTTGAGATGGAGTCTCCCTCTGTCACCTACGCTGGAGTGCAGTGGTGTGATCTCAGCTCACTGCAACCTCCACCTGCCAGGTTCAAGCAGTTCTCCTGGCTCAGCCTCCCAAGTAGCTGGGACAACAGGTGTGTGCCACCACACCTGGCTAATTTTTTATATTTTTAGTAGAGATGGGGTTTCACCATGCTGGCTAGGTTGGTCTTGAACTCCTGACCTCGTGATCTGCCTGCCTTAGCCTCCCAGAGTGCTGGGATTACAAGCGTGAGCCACCACGCCTGGCTCTTTGCTACTTTCATATGCTCAGATCTATTTTCCAGCTTGCCAATTCCATCTGCAGCACTGTCAAATCTATTCTTTAACCTTTCTATTTGCCTATTTTTAAAATTCAAATGATTATATTCATTCCTAAATGTTCGAATAGGTTCCTTTTCAAATCTGCCTGCCTGGGTTCTTTTTTAAATTTCTCCCATAGTATTTATTTTTTAATCTTTCTTTTATGTCTTTATTTATTTTTTTTTAAAATGTCTTTCAAAGCATCTGGCCAGGTTTCTTGCTTGTAGTTCCAGGGCTTTGGGAGGCTGAGGTGGGAGGACTGCTTGAGGGCAGGAATGAGACCAGGCTGGACAACACAGCAAGACTCCATCTTTACTTAAAAAAAAAGTCTGGGTGTGGTACCATGTCCCTGGAGTCCTAGCTACTTGAGAGGCAGGAGGATCACCTGGGCCCAGGAGTTGGAGGCTGTAGTGACCTATGATCATATCACTGCAGTCCAGCCTGGGCAACACAGTAAGACCCCATCTCTATAAAGGATTTCAAATGATTTTTCAAAAAGTATCTACTACATTACTCAAATTATCTAAAATCCTAAGGTTCTAACCCTGCTTTTAAAAATCTGTTGGTTTTCACTCCTAATGAATTATTTTGCAATCGTTTTATTTATCTTTTCAAGACAGGGTCTCACTCTGTCTCCTAGACTGGAGTGCAGTGGCGTGATCTCTGCTCACTGCAGCCTCAACCTTCCTGGGCTCAGGTGATCCTCCCACCTCAGCCCCCTGAGGAGCTGGGACCACAGGCATGTGCCACCACGGCACTCCAGCCTGGGTGACACGGCCAGACTCTGCGGCAAACGAAACAAAATGTTTTTCTCCACATGGGCCTCAGCTTCCTTGTTTGTGCCTAGACTTGGGTTTTCTCAGCTCATTTATTTCCTCGACAACACGGACTTTGGTGGGCTCCGGTGTAGCATAAGCTTTACAGTTCAATCCCTTCGACTCTGCCAGTCAGTCCTCTATGTGTTTCAGGATCCTAGGAATTTCCCTCATATTTTTATGAGATCAGCACTGGTTATACTTTCCCAGCTTTTAAAGGTATACATAGAGTCGGGAGAAGGGGATTTCAAATTCACCAGAAGGTCTCCATCCTATACTGCGATTATGTAAAAATATCAGTAAACAATAAAAACAGATGCATTTAAGGCCTGGGATTAGAGAGGAAGCCCTTCTGTTGAAAACTGTCTTTGATATTGGTAAGGAAACACAGTTCAGGAAAAAAGAGCTGACAAATAAAACGTTTACCGAAGCTGATAAAAAGAAAAACAGAATCCATGGTGCAAGTTTAGGGGGTTAAATGTTTATTAAACCAAGGTTTAAAATTATATATCCACCTCCAGTCTGTAAACAAATACAGAACACATATATGTAAAAGGCTAGCAGATAAGAACTAGTGGAAAAACTGAAGTCCCCTATCACAACGACACCCCACCACGACGCCCTCCTGGTGCGGATGCCACGGGGCCATGTTATAGTTACGAGTTAAAATGAAAAACCGCAAGTTCAGTATGACTCCATCTCCTAGGGTGGATTTCATTCAGATATTTGTTCCGCACTGCAGAAGAGTGGATCACAGCAAGGCCACGGTGTAGTTTTTACATTCACAGATTGGCTGAAGTAGTACAAATTGAGCTTCTAATCTAGGTGTCTCCCTCCTTGTTACCATACTTCGTAAGAAATATGAATTAAAACGAACAATGGACCACAGGTGGTTATAAAAATAGACAACTCACAGAGCAATAAATATCTACAGTTAGTACAGCAGAAACTTGTAAAATTTGCCTTTTTCCATGATGTGCAGAATATGCTAAGTATGTTCAGGAGACACAGTCAGCAGACTTCAGAGTGGTAATTACAAGGGGATTTGTAAAGAAATAGCACTCGAATACAAACCCAGAGTAAGAAGCTGAATGCAGATGAAAATATGCCAAACACGTAAAGTCCCACCTCCTCACATCTCATTATGCTGCTTAGTAGACACCACAATTAGCTTACAGCCCTTTATGTATCTTTAAAAGTAACTTTTTGTTACCTATGTACAAACTTTAAAAAAGATTTTTCATGAGACAAGCAAAGTGGGTTCATGGCGGTGCTAAAACTGACACTTGTAACGTTCTGTGTGCTTTCGTATACTTCTGTGTATGGGGCTTTAAAATGCTCCAAAAATGGTTTGGATAGAGTTAAAATTCCCACAAAAATCTAGTTTATAATCATTTAAAGGTCTAGAAAAAAAAATCCTAAACTGGGGTTGAGGGACAGGCCCAAATCTCACAAAGTAACTGAAATTCCAGGAATATATAAATTACATTCATACGCTCCTTTAACATATGTCAAGTGCTATATAAAGTACTGTAACGCTATTCTGAAGCCAATCTCACTTAAAACAGTACATCAATCCCATCCTAATTCTACAATTAAAGCACTTAGTCCAGGTAATGTGCGTTTCAGCAAAGCTGACATCTTGTACAACAGTGTCACCTTAAAGCTTTATCAGATTCACGGCAGGCCTGAACTGTCAAAGTTCGGAACCAGCAATACCACAGGTAGTTCTTCATCCTAGTTCCTCGAAGGGAGTGAAGGGTCTACTTGAGTCATCCTAAGGTCACCTAAGCCTAGAACAGCGTTCCCTGAAAACTCCAGCAAGTTACCTCACCAAAATCTCGCTTCAGTGTAATGTGTTTGGGACTTGCTGGGCTAGAAAAATGGGTTCCACTGATGTATGAACATACATTCTACACCTTCAAGGGGTGTACAGACACGGTACTTCCCAAACTCACCGGACCTTTCCGGGGAGCACCTGGAATAACCGCTGGATCTTGGGGGACTCATGTCCCAGGGGACATGGTTAGAGGAATGCCAAGTTAAAGCAGATTTTCTCAAGTAGTGGTTCTCTGATTGCAGTGAGTATCCAAAGCACAGACGCCATAACCCTTCAGAGGTCCAGGATGGGACCTGGAAATCTGCATTTCTGACAGAGGCCCGCCGCCCGCCACCAACCCACCAAGTGAAGCTGCTGCTCTTGAACCGAGAAGTACACTTGGGAGAGGCATCGTTGAGGATGGCCTGCACAGATCTCAGCTGCAGGAAGCCCTCCTGCGGCCCCAGGAAAGGCTGCACATGGCGTTTGCCACAACCAATTAGTCAGGGGTCAAATCAGCCCAGTGAATTATTGGAGGGTCACGTACCTTGGCGTTGTAATTGACTCCTGGTTCTGTCCTTGCTCACTGGGTGACCAGGAAGAGTGACGGCATCTAACAAGAGGAGTAACAGTAGCCCCCGGCCCCCCAGAGCATCTGTGATGCTTAAGAGAAATGTTTGCAAAAAGAGCACTAACCAGCCAAAAGCATCATACAAGTGTCTGCTAATCAGAAGAACGTGCCCGACACAGCAGGAAAACCCCAGATGAGTTCTCTGTCTTCTGTCACTGCTGAGCCTTGATGAAGGCACATTCTGACAACTAATGAAGAGAAAAGAGGCTAAAAATGCAGACAACTGCAGTGAGGGGGAAATACGGAAGTGGATTATCTAATTAAAAATACCTGATTGTTAAAAAAACAAAGGTCAGCCCACAAAGTAGTTAATTAGGCTGGCTTTGAGATAGTGTTTAGAAGTTAAATATATTGATCTTTGAACACACTCATCCAGTCTACCATGTTAATGCTGGTTAAAATTTAACATTAGAAGAATGAGAAAAAAGAAATCCCCCACTCAAATCCGTATGTATTACACCTAAAACAATTTAGCTGAGGTCATTCCAATTTTATAAGCTACCATTGTGTGGAAATTTCATAAACAATTTTTTAAAAAGACATTGAATTTTGGCTCATAGAAACACCCGCAGAATGAGGAAGAAACTGCCATTCACATGTTTGTGTGTGTGTGTTTAGCTGCTGCCCAGGACATCTTTGCCAATGAACTTCCTCCCACAATTTAAAAATGAACCTGTAAAAATTCATACATATCCATGATGAGATTACAGTCAAGCAAACATCATGCTGCCAAGTCCTGGTTTCCACGTGAACCCAAAAGATGGATCCGAAAGGCAGAGCTTTCCCCAGCACGTTGCGCAATTCAGTTTAGATATGCTCCGGATGGCTCTGAAGACAAGACAACATCTCTTGAACTGGTCGGCCTTCATAGCAGATCTGATAGACTGCAGTAAACAGTGGAAACCTAGTTGGGAAGAAATGTGAAAAGACAAGGTTAGGCCACTGGATTTGCCTCAGAGAATAAGTTAGGTTTTCTGTCCTGACACATTGCAGGTTAGCATGCGACTCTGGAAAACACAGTGACCCCTTTCTGCATTCTTTACTGTTTGGTCTGCAGAGAGCCTCTGCGCTGTGGCTGTCAGATCCTGGTGCAACCTAGACCATGCTCTGTCTAATTAGATTTGGAGTGCATTGTCCACAAACAAGTCACATGGTCATCCTACCGGGCAAACTGTTGTCATTTATGGAAAGAGTTGTGGCTCCAACTCTTGGTCAAATCTTGGATGAGTCTAAATTCTGTCATTATTATAAAAGTTGTAAAAATAAATTTTCAGTTGCAAGGAGGCATTGCTCTCCCTTCTCCAAAAAGAATCATCTCACGATGACGATGAAGCAGTCCACACATCACCACAAATAATGCAGGCTGGAATGCTCCCACAAGAATCCCAGTGAGGACCCGCAATTAGCATAGCACTCATCTTATGCTGGAAGCTTGATCTATCTTACCTTTTCTTCCAAGAGGCGAACACACATATGAGTGAAAGTCTGGAATGGATGAGGGTACAAAGGGGTGGGCTAATCATCCGTTGTAAGAAAACAGCACAATCCCAGGGCACAGCTACTTAGTAATTTTTTTTCTTTTAACGGCAGAAATCGCTAAATAAATAACTAATTTCAGTAGGCGTTTAAGTACACACACACATAGCTCAAAGTGAGCTTGGCAGAATCAACAGTCTTTTTTTTTTTTGAGACGGAGTTTCGCTCTTGTTACCCAGGCTGAAGTGCAATGGCATGATCTCGGCTCACCACAACCTCCGCCTCCTGGGTTCAGGCAATTCTCCTGCCTCAGCCTCCTGAGTAGCTGGGATTACAGGCACGCGCCACCATGCCCAGCTAATTTTTTGTATTTTTAGTAGAGACGGGGTTTCACCGTGTTGACCAGGATGGTCTTGATCTCTTGACCTTGTGAACCACCCGCCTCGGCCTCCCAAAGTGCTGGGATTACAGGCTTGAGCCACCGCGCCCGGCCTATCAACGGAGTCTTGAAAGGCAATCCTGAAAATTAGCTGGACAGAATCTTATAATGGTAATTTAATTTGAGAAGAACAGGCTGGGTGTGGTGGCTCATGCCTGTAATCCCAGCACTTTGGGAGGCCGAGGCTGTCGCATCACCTGAGGTTAGGAGTTTAACACCAGCCTGGCAAGCATGGTGAAACCTGTCTCTACTAAAAATACAAAAATTAGCTGGGTGTGGTGGCATATGCCTGTAATTGCAGGTACTTGGGAGGCTGAGGCAGGAGAATGGCTTGAACCTGGAAGGTGGAGTTCTATAGTAAGCTGAGATGGTGCCTCTGTACTTCAGCCTGGGCGACAGTGAGACTATGTCTCAAAATAAAAAAAAAGAACAGACAGTACTAACAGAGCACATGTCTTTATGAGAGCCTATCGTTGTAGGGTTGTTGTTTTTTTTTACTGTAGTTTTTTTAAGGTTTGGGATATTTTGTTCTTTTTTGGAGTCAGGTAGACCTAATGAAATCTGACTCTACAGCCTACTAACTCTGCAAGTTTCACAATCCTTCTGACCCTGTCATCTGTAAAACAGGACTGGATATACAGCCTTGCTGCAAGTATTAAATGACTTACGTGTGGAGTGTATAGTATACACTTAGCAAATGGTGGATGTGCAGTAACGACAGCTGATAACAGTAGCCACAAGATGGTCAGCGTGTCCTGGACTAAGAAAGCTCCACGAGGACTGGGACCAAGTCTGTGTTTTTCACTACTGTATCCTCAGTGCCTTGTGCAATGCAGAGCAGGGGCAGGTGCTCAGTGAGGATTTGCTGAAGAAATTCCTGTGGATGGGATTTAAAGCCTACAAAATTCAGCCCGTTTCTTTGTCCTTTCATGCTATGTTTCCCTGTTCCTGAAACAAGAACGATGTGTATGTCCGCAAAGCAGTGTGGTAGCAGAAGACTGGCCAACCAAAGCCATTTTCAACCTGCTTCTCCCTTTCCCAAGGTTGGAGAGAGCCTACTCACCTTCCTAGCCTTTCTTTAATCTAGAATTAGCCAAGTAACACAGTCTGAGCCAGCAAGGCACAACATATCTGCTGAAGGGTTCTGGGGACGACACAATATATCTGCTGAAGGTTTCTGGGGAAGTCCTAGCCAGCAAGACATAATGTATCTGCTGAACATTTCTCTCCTTCAGAGGCACCAAAGGAAAAATCTGTTACTTTAGACTACTCTTGTTTCCTTGCTGAGTGTAGAAGTGAATGTGATGCCTGGAGCTGCCGCAGCTATCTTGAGGTTCAAGGGAAGGCCAACAGGATCACTGAGATTCTAATACAGAGCCACATGGGCCAACACTTTATTAATGTCCCCCTCCATACCGCCTGCTGTGACTGAGTGTTGCTCTTGAAGCTGAAAGCACTCCCAACTTTTAAAACTAGCATTTCCAAAGTGTATTCTGTGGATGGGATATTAACAGGAGATATGAAGTAGGGAGAGGGGAAATTTCTGCAGACAAGTAACTTGTTTAATCCTCACAATCACCCCATGAGGTCGAAAATATTGTCCCCATTCTATATACGAGTAAACTGAATCACAGTTTTGGACTCTGAAGCCAATGTTCAACCATTAGGCTACACTGCCCATCTAAATATTATTTTCTATTATACAAAATGCTAAAAGGCCAATTCGATCAGTTTGGAAAGCTCTCTAAATAAAGTTAGAGGTGAAAGGAAGACAAAAGACAACATTTCATTTACAAAATTGACAAACCAGTCAGTCAGCTATCCCACTAATAAATACTGAGGGTTTAAGATGTATCAGACTTCAGACTAGGTGCAGGGATGTGCAGTATTATAAATAAAGCCAGGCCAGGCATAGTGGCTCACACCTGTAATCCCAGCACTTTGGGAGGCCAAGGTGGGAAGATTGCTTGAGTTCAGGAGTTTGAGACCAGCCTGGGCAACATGGTAAAAACCAGCCTCTACTAAAAATACAAAATTAGCTGGGCATGTGGGCATGCGCCTATAATCCCAGCTCCTGGGGAAGCTGAGGCACAAGAATCTCTTGAACCTGGAAGGCGGAGGTTGCAGTGCTGAGATTTCGCCATTGCACTCCAGCCTGGGTGACAGATGGAGACCCAGGAGCTTACAACAATGTGTATGGCCTGAATGGTGCCCTCCTCCCAATTCATATGCTTAGGTCCTAACCCCTAGTATCTCAGAATGTAACAGGGCCTTTGAAAAGGTAATTAAGGTAAACTGAGAGTCTGAGAAGGAACTTGCAAGTTCCATTCAAGAAAAGAAGGTACCATTGGGGAGTAAGTGGAGGTACTACCGGAAGTTATGTGGATACTAGATTGAGGGGGGCTGCCTCCACCTAAGGACCGTGTGCTTCACTCCATAAGAGCAGGAGGTCTCTGACTGTAAATGCTCAAGCTAGTAGGGATCATGGCGATCATCTGGTCTACCATCTTAATTTTGTGGATAAGAACACTGGGGCACAGAACAGCAAAATACGTGACTTGCCCAAGACCACATGGCTCATAAGCCACAGGGCAGCCTTGAATGCTGCCCTCCTGCTATTTTTTTTCTATAGCAGTGGAGAAGAGAAGGGAGGGGAGGAGGAAACAGAGGAAGACCAGAGTAGTGGTGGCCAGAATGGAAAAAAAAAAAGGAATCAAAGAGGTGGTGCAAGAGGAGAACAACAGGCCTCTGCCTTTGGGAGGCAGATGGTGCGAGAAATGGGGAGAAGTCCCAGGGGAGTCTACACTCCAGCCAGGAGAAGGGCGCTGCTGTCTCCAACCCAGCAGCGATGTTATTAAGCACAGGTGCAGCCTGTTCAATTTCTTTCTTTCTTTCTTTTTTTTTTAGAGATGGGGTTTCATCATGTTGGTCAGGCTGGTCTTGAACTCCCAACCTCAGGTGATCCACCCGCCTCAGCCTCCCAAAGTGCTGGGAGTACACGTGTGAGCCACTGTGCTGGGCCCAGCCTGTTCAATTTCTAATCAGAAGAAATGAAATGGGACGTGACCAAGGAGAGATGTCTGCTCGGAGCAGAGATTTGCCTGCTTGATTACACCTGCTTTTGAAAACAGGCAACTATTGACCCCATAATCACAGTTCCAATCCATGCCCCCCTGGAGCTAACAGGCCAATGCCCAGCCAACCTGTCCATCCACAGAATCCTATCAAGGCACCCCTTGGTAGCACACAGGTGCCACTCGAAAATTCTGGTTGGAAGAGACTCACCAAGCAGCCAGGTGTGTGTGTGTGTGTGTGTGTGTGTGTGTGTGTGTGTGTGTGTGTGCCGTGTGTGTGTGTGTGTGTGTGTGTGTGTGTGTTTAGACTTAAAAAATTTTCTTTATAAATCTCAGTGGTCATTAAAGTAGTCCAACCACACACAAACGTGTGAGTGTCTGCTGCTAAGTAGATAAGGAAAACCATGCATGTCAGACGCATTTTCCTTTTAGTCACTATTTAAAGGTAGTTCTCCTCCTGTGGCAGCCTGTTTGTGAGCTTCCATCTCTGCCTGGCTGGTTTTAAAAGCCATTTCAGAAAAATAAAGTGCAAATTAAAGAGGGAAGGCGAATGCTCCATCCACCTTCATTTTTAGCTTTCAGTAAGGAACTCCATGGCTGACGAATTTGTTCTGGGTAAAAGGAGGAGGGGTGCTGGGTGCAGAGGGAGGTAAAGATGCTTGACGAAGACCAGCAGGCACCTGAACTGACAGAACCAGGATAAAGGAGCTGCAACCAGAGATAATAGCAAGGCATCCACGACCCTCCTCCCAGCTTGGAGAGCTCCTGCTCTGAATCAGCCACAATCAGCATGTCAATCCGGCTGCTCAGCTCCCTCCAGTCCTAGGCAACCAGACTTCCCCTCCCCCAGAGAGTATTACGGGAGAGTTAGGAATACATACAACGTGCTGCATAAGCATTTTATAGAGTGGTATAGTTGGCATCTTGATTATGGTCACCCACAATCATGCTCAGTAAATTGGCAAGAGAAAGTGCTGTGGAGCAGGTAGGGCCGGGGAGTGGCCTCAAGAGAGGCTGGGAAGCTTTGTGGTGCTACAGGGCTCACTCTCTAAATCAGGTGGCAAACAAACTGACTCAAGCCCACTTTTAACACACAACTGGCCTGGAAGGGCAATGGAGGATGGATGCACCCACCCATCTATCCATCCATTCACCTACCCCATCCATCCACTCACTCATCTACCCATGCACCCATCCCTCATCCATCCATCCATCCATCCACCCCTTCATCCCATCCCATCCCATCCCATGCCCGCATCTACCCACCCAGTGACGAGACTGGAAGGCTGTGCGTCGAACCTTAACAGAGCTCCCTTCTGACCGTACAGTGTTGGGCTACCTTGTCCTTCCTTCCCTTCTGACTTGTTTGACATTTTAATAACATGACCATATTTTTTTATAAAACAAAAAAAGTAATCTGTGAGACGGAGTTTCGCTCTTGTTACCCAGGCTGGAGTGCAATGGCGCGATCTCGGCTCACTGCAACCTCCGCCTCCTGGGTTTAGGCAATTCTCCTGCCTCAGCCTCCCGAGTAGCTGGGATTATAGGCATGCGCCACCAGGCCCAGCTAATTTTTTGTATTTTTAGTAGAGACAGGGTTTCACCATGTTGACCAGGATGGTCTCGATCTCTTGACCTTGTGATCCGCCCACCTCGGCCTCCCAAAGTGCTCGGATTACAGGCTTGAGCCACCGTGCCCGGCAAAAAGTAATCATTTTTATAATTTTTTTTTTTAAAGACAGGGTTTCACCATGTTGGTCAGGCTGGTCTTGAACTTCCGACCTCAGGTGATCCGCCCACCTTGGCCTCCAAAGTGCTTGGATTATAGGTATGAGCCACCACGCCTGGCCCATTTTATAAATTTTAAAATGTATGATATGTAGATTTTACCAAACACCCCACAGGACAAACTGGAATTCTAAGCTTTAGAGTTTATAACATGATTTAGAGAACTGAGCTCCTTTTATTCTCGTTGAGCCTGGGTTTTGTGTAAACATTTGTTTTTGGGGTAGGTGGATGCTTCTCATCACAGATGTTCATATCACACAAAGGACAGAACTAATCCAGGAAAGTTCTAAGTGCACTTGTTAAATAGTCTAGCTCATCTCCATGGGGCTGGGAGTCCTGGGAACAGGAGCAATGGACGTTTATCTGGTTTCATGGGTGACCAAGAGACTTACTTGTCCACTAGTCCCTTCTGTTTGAGGATGCGGTACACTTCGGCAGAAGTCTGAGGTCCTTGGAGCTTTTGCCCGTTCAGCATCTCCTTCTCCAACTCTTCAATGGTCTTAAAAACAAAGGATTATATAGAAAAAAAAATGGTAAAGACAAAAGGATGATTGACTTGTTTAATTTTTAAGTTTTTTCTTTTCTTTGTTTTGAAGAGATGGGGTCTCGCTACGTTGTGCAGGCTGGCCTTGAACTTCTGCCTAAAGCAATTCGCCCACCTTGGCCTCCTAAAGCAGTGGCAGTACAGGCACAAGCCACGCCTGGCCTGGCATCATTTATTTCAAGAGCAGAGTGGAGAGAAGAGCCTCAATACCCTGCTGCAAGCCAAGGAAAGATAAAGACACAAAGAACAGAAGACTCAAGTGAAAGCAGCCAGGCAGACAGAACAATCCCAGTAGACAGATGCCGGCATGAATCTCCGCTGGACTGCAGCTCACCCCAAGCCAGGAGTCTCAAGTGAGGAAGGAGGGGTACGGGAGGGCAGGTGAGGGACTACCTTCCCAGTTCTGGCGAAGGCCTCGGCCACCCTGCGGTTCCGCCCTCCGTAGCAGGTGGTGATCAGGTCGGCCACTCCGCAGCTCTCTAGGAAGGTGGCTGTGGACACCCGGCCCTTGCAGAAGATCCTGGCGAACGCAATCATTTCCATGAGTCCCAGGCGGATGACGGCAGCTTTGGTGTTGTCTCCGCAGCGGAGGCCGTCGCAGAAGCCAGCTCCCACAGCTACGATGTTCTGCAAAGAAGACCACAGAGCCCAGATGCTGTTACAGCACCCACTGCGGGTATGGATGCCAGGGGCGGTGGGGGATGCTGAGGCAGGGACAGACCAGAAACACTGGCTCCATCCTTGAAATGATCAATGCCGGGTTCTGCTCTTGTACACCTGGGTGAAAGAGATGATGAAAGGAGAGACCAGGCTTCCCAAGCCCCTTTCTAGGACAAAGAGCCCATATCTGGGAGCAGTAGGGGGCAGCAGTGGCAGAGCATTGGCTGATAGCAGTCTTAAGTTAAATAATATTTGGACAAACCACTTTCGGTTTTCTTTCGTTTTAAATGGAATGCTTTGTGCAACTTTAGCATTCATACAGAAAAGTACACAAATCCTAAGTGCACAGATTGAAGAATTTTTACAGACTGCACAGCCCCCCGCAGCCAGCACAGTGATCAAGGAAAAGAACACAGCCAGGGCTTCAGGAAGCCCCCAGTCCCCACTTCCAGCCACCTCTACCACCAAAGGCAACCACTCTCCTCACTTCTCACAGCACAGATTTGTTTTACCTGCCTTTAAATTTTTTGTGAAGAGTCATACAGTATGTAACCTTTTATGTGTAGCTTCATCTTAATTCAACATCATGTTTGTGAGATCCATCCATATTTTTACATCTAGCACATTAATTTTAATTGCTGCACAGTACTCCATCTTGTGAATATGCTGCAATTAACTTGTTTAACTGTCTTCTGTCAACTGGCACTGGGGTAGCTTCCAGTTTGGGGCCATGACAAACAGTGCTGCCATGGACACCCTGGCACATGTCCTCTGGTGGCTACGTGCAGGCACTCCTGTTGGGTATGACCTAGGAGTTGAAACATTGGGTCATGAGGCCTGCATATGCGCAGCTCAAATTCCAGCCTTTTGTTTCATTTAATAATCCCCAAACGAGTATTTACAGAGCACTCACTCTTTGCATGGCCTCTTCGAGACACAAGGCAAATGAGACACAGAGCCTGCCTTTTCAGAAGCTGATAATCTGGTGTCGGCTGGCAATCGAGGCCAACTGCCTGTTTGGTAAATAACGTTTTATGGGAACCCAGCCATACCCGTTCATTTACGCATCGTCTGTGGTTGCAAATTTGAGTAGTTGCAACAGAGACCGGATGGTCCACAAGGCCTCTTCTATCTGGCTCGGATGGAAAATGTTTGCCACCCCTGACCTTACAGGAAAAATAGAACGTATACAAATAACTGTAACCCTCAGCAGAACGTGATATCCTCTAAAAGGTACTGAGAATCTGAAATTCCATTTCAACAGGTATGCACTGAGCACGCACTGTGTAGGAAGAACCCCACTCAGCTCTGGAGGGACACAGGGATTGCAGGGGCTAGGGCGGGGAGAGGGGGAGAATGCAGGTGCTGAAGACGCTCCCAGGGGAAAGGTGTAAGGAGGAGAGTCAGACACAGAGCTTGTCCTCAAGGAGCTGACAGACTGGCTGGGAAAAGAGACACAACAAAGCACATCAAAAGGCAGAGCAAAGAGAGTGTGCTGAAAAGTCGCAGGAGCCACACGCTTCTGTTCAAAGCAGGGAAGACCACACGGAGGAGGTGACACCTGAGCTGGGCCTCAATAAGTAAAAGTCAGATTACCATCTAAGACAAGTAACACCTGCATAGCTGCACAGGTGACAACTTAGTTGGAACTTCAGTTGAGCCCCGGATTCCTGGCCCCTTGTGCTTTGCTCCTTCACCAAGAACGCTTAATGCTAAATTCCAGTAACACCTGGTGACTACACAGGGAGCCTTGCAAGACTTTAAAACATGAAGCTAGTTTTGGAAATGAGTTAACATGAGTGCATTTTAATAAAACCAAGTTTTACTAGTGAAAGAATAACTTTTCTTAAAACATCAGGCCTATGAAATGTGAAGGATCAGGTGAAAAACAGAAAGAGCTGGGGAATAGAAATGCCTTCTCTAGTATGCAGGCAGTTCTTGATAAAACACATGAAACATGGCATTGATATGGCTGGGCTCACCAGGACAAACAGACTTGGTCATTTAGATACAGCTACTTCTCACTATTTCACATGAAAAAACATCTGACTGAGCCTCCTGAAGTTTCCATCTACTCCCTGCAGACCCACAGAACAGAGCCCTCTCTTGCCCTCTCCCACAAGGTGACTCGGAATGAAGAGGGCTAGAGAATAAAGATGGGGATGGGAAGGGCCCCCCGTGTCTTCTCTTCCTCAGCAATAATGGGAGAGCTTATTGGGGTTGCTGCTTAGGCCTCTCATTGCAGTCGAAAGGAAAAAGTTGAAAATTTTTCTAAAAAGGATGCAGGCAGCGCTGATGAGGAACTGGGTCCTAGGAACTGACAGGCTGACCATATGCGTGTCTTCGTAAGGTACCACCTTGCCTGTACCTGTGAAAGTTTCTCAGCCTCTTCCTACCACACAGGCTATGTGAACTTAGGTTTCATCAGTTCTCATACAGCAATCGCCTCAAACTTCCACACACAGGGATGGTGGAAGGGGGCAATTCCTGGCTTACACACTCTCAGCATCAGGCAGCATCAGGGAAGAGGCAAGCGAGAGGCCTTGTGAAAGAAGCCTGGAGAGACGCTGGGGGTTGGTGGGATCTGGTTCTGTGGCTTTGCTCCTTGGGGGGTGAGCTGCCGAGTCGGGATGGAACACCCAGGCCTTTTAGGATGAGTGCTATGCAGAGACTAAGAGCAGGGACCATAAGAACACCCGGGCTGGGCCCACCTAGGCCTGGATCCCCTTCCCAGCACAGCAGCCAGACTAAGGAGGCTACAGGGAGAAAAAAGCGGTACACGGCACTGACATCACAGAGCCTTTGCATCACACAGTGTGGCCTGGGGCCATCCCTCCACCCCTCGGGCCACCTTCACCTCCGAGGTAAAATCCAGGGCTTGCACAGGAGTTTTCAAGGCCCTTCTGGGACTGACATTCTTTCAGAGAAGCTGGTGCAACTGCAGCCTGCACTGGGCAATAGGTTGACCCCTGGGGACGTGCAGGGGGACTGGCTGCCGAAGCCCGGAGGCCAGCCCTTGGCTGAGCTGGCCAAATGGTTTTACTGAAGTTGCTATGCAATGTGGCGAGGCTTAGGCTGTGGGCCAACCGGTCAGCTTCCTGAAGTTGCTCTCTGATGCCCCAGGGCCTGTGTCTCCACGTTCCCCTCCATCACAACATGAACCATTCTGAAACTGTTACAGGAAAAACCAACCCCAGGAAATGCCTATGAGCTGAGTGGGCGAGAACATGGGCTTCTGTTCGATAAGGGGCTCCTGCAAATAGAGGAGGGGAGGCATTTCCTTATTGCATGCCTTCAGCCGGCCCAGGCTAGTTACACACACTGCCTGATCGTCATTCCCACGACTCTGAGGCATGTACCTATCCTCCTATCTCCCAACTGGCACAACTCAGGCTCACGGAGGTTTAGTGGCTTGCGAAAACACCTCACCGGTAAGCGATGGAGTCACGGCGCACTCCTGGTGCCTGGCTCTGCAGCCCACTCTGCCCCTGTGACTTGCTGCTCTAGTGTGGGAAAGTTGCCCTTCCTCCCCCCTCAGTCAGAAAGGCCTGCCTGACCCTTTGCCATTGGATGTTAAAGGAGAGTGCCTTCCCGGCCTACACCAAGGCTTAGGAGGTAAAAAGGGTTGCTTAGGCTGGGCGTAATCCCCACACTTCGGGAGGCTGGGGCAGGTGGATTGCTTGGGCTCAGGGGTTCTATTGAGACCAGTCTGGGTAACATAGTGAAACCCTGTTTCTACCAAAAATACACAAAATTAGCCAGGTGTGGTGGCATGCACCTTTTGTCCCAGCTACTTGGGAGGCCGAGGTGGAAGGATTACTTGACCCCAGGAGGCAGATGTTGCAGTAATGGAGATCACGTCACTGTACTCCAGCCTGGGTGAGAGTGAACCTGTCTCAAAAAAAAAAAAGCTAGCTTTGGAGACAAAAAGTAATAAAAAATAGTAATAGCTAACCTTATCAAACTGTTCTAAGAGCTTCATATATTATTGCCTTATTTAAACCTCACAACATTGCCACAAGGCAGATCCTATAATCATGGGAGCATGAAAGGAAACTGAGGCACACAGAGTAAGGTGCTTGCTCGAGGAGATGACGCCACACTATGCTGCTCTAGGGCCAGTGGGTGAAAGGCACAGAGAAGCCACCACAGAGTCCAGATGAGAACTTTCTAACAGGAAGAGCTGACCCTGCCCAACAGGAAAGATTTAGCAGGAGCTTTCTGCCACCAAAACCATCCAAGCAGGACTGTATGGACAGGCCCTGCGCTCCGAAGCAGTGCTTCCATGTTGCTGTACTCAGAAAAGTCAGATGAGGAACCAGGGCGAGCAGATGAGGATGCCTGGGGGCTCCCTCGCAGCTCCTCTGTGGCCCCTTCAGTGCAGGACACACGGGTTGAGACACCCTCAAAGCTTCTACTAGACGTTTAACCTCCCCACTGGGACGGGGGGTGGGCGGGAGACCACTGCAGGGTCTATTCCTCTTTTCTAAGAGGACCCTGGGCTGCAACCCAGTTTAATCGCCTTATGACGGATCTCAAAATCCTCATTCTCTTCCCTCCACCACTTACCACTGTCAAAAGGAAAATAACCATACTGAGCCAGTCAGAGCGTGTTTGAAGAGCATCGAGCAGATGTCCTCTGAGATGGCTCAGATGTGAAAGTTATCATTATCCACTGTGCATTTAAATCTGTTTTAAACTCTTTTGGAGCTAAAAATACCGTAATTTTCAGAAGACAGACGTGTGTAGCCCTTCCCCATCTCCTGGGTGATGGCAACGCTCAGAGGCAATCATCCATTCCCGAGAGCACTCGTTTCAGTTCTGAATAGGGGTGGGTTGGATGGGGCTCAATTCCTCTCCCACTTCCACCTTCCCACGGAAAGAATAAAAAACAGGAGAACCAGCCCATGCTACCTGCAGTTTCCACAAACGTTCTCACCGCCCAGCAAGAACTGCCTGCCTGAAACCCAAGTCAGTCAGTACTGTTTTCTCCTGTTCCAACAATCCATCCAACTCCTCCTGAGGCTAGCTGCTAAGGGGAGGCTGTCTGTTTGGGATTACTAAAGCAAGGTGCCACCTACTGTCTGAGCTGACCCCTAAGGCGGCCTGGCTGAGATGTCAAAGAAGGCTAAGGCAAGCCCACGCTTGGCCCGCCAAGCCGGTCGCACCAATAGGAAGCTGCCTGAGCTGGAGCAGCAATGTCCAGTTGACGTTTCTTCAATAAGAAATGTTTTCTATTTGCTCTATCGAATACAGTAGCCATTAGCCACACGTGGCCACTGAGTCTTTAAAATGTAGCTACTGTGACTCTGCAACTGAATTTTTAGTTTTTAAGAAATGTAATTCATTTGAATGTAAATGTAAACAGTACATATGGCTACTGGCTAGCGTGTCAGACTATGCGGGCTTGCTCTCACTCACATAAAGGTGCTTTTGGGCAAGCAGCGGCCCTGACTACAGAGGAGACCCAAGGCGGGCATCCCGGCACGGTTT